ATATTTAAATATCTTACCTGGATTTTACGTTCACGAAAAACACATTTTTTTGGCGAAATATTTATATCATTGAATAACTTTAAATTCTATATGAATCATTGACAATTAAACTATTCAAATTTTGCTAAAAAGAAAAAAACTCCCTAATACAAAAAAAACTTAATTATTTATAAAGATTTACAATTTGTGGTGCCAATAATTATATTAGTGCCAATAACTGTACATTTTATTGTATACTTTTTACACCTCTACACTTTTTAATGTATGTAGTACATGTAATTACGTTATATTCAATATACTTCCCATTTGTAACTTTATCAAATTATTGTACGTGCTTCGCACTTGTTAAAAAGTGATGATAACCTTATATAAATGTAAAACAATTAATATAACGTTGTATAGTGTTATAACAGTATATACAGCTGGTTCGTAATATTAGGCTAACAGAAAATATTTTTTTTTCAATTAAAATATAACATAAAATTTAATTTACTAAGCCTAAAATAATTACCACCATTGTATCAAAGCTATAATAATATTACATATTATATACTACACTTAGTATATATGTATATATACAGATAGTGACATAACATTACTATGTAATGTCACTATTTGTAGTTATTGCCTAACTTTATGAAGCATTAAATAGGTATTCCATTTGTATGACTCACAGGGATATAGATAAGATAATTTTCAATATAATAGGAAGTTTAAGAAAAAACACAAAATAAAAATTCTATGCAATTTACGAAATAACAAAATGTTCACACTTTAAACTAGGTAACATAATGTCATACTCATATAATTCCAAAACGATCAATGTTTGTTTTTTGATAACATTTTATGTTAAAAAGAAAATAGTTTTTAACTTATACTTACTATAGCTAGTATTGACTATCATAGCAATAAAAGTTTCCAACTGTTGAGATTAATTGAACGTTATCAAGTTGTATATAAGTTAATTTAATTTAATTATAACAAAGTATATAAACTGTAATCTGTAAACAAAATTATAAAATAATCTTTTTTCTGTCACAATAACTAATGAGGTATAATAAATCAACATGTTGAACCTATTTAAGTATTATTAACAACATTTTCAACAATTTATCCAGTGGAATAACATGTTCAAACAAGGGTGTGCCTAGACATTTTTTTCGGTGGGGTTCAATACTTTTACGTATTTCAAATTTATTTATTTCATAAGATAATAATTTTGGTAATAATTAATTTTATAGTACTAGATAGATCGACAATGAATTATAAAAATAACCCTGGCAAATCTTTATGATATTAAACTTAAATTATATAAAGTAATACTTTTTTTTTAAATTCATTAAAATTCCGGGGGGGGGGGGGAGGTTAGAATACCCAAGCCCTCCCTGGAACGTCTCTGTGTTCAAGTTAAGAATTAAATTTATAATTTCTTATAATTTAGAGTGTATGTGAGCGGACCTAGACAATTCCTTTATTAAGAATTGCTGATCGAACTGATCGTTTTTTAGTCTTAATATGGTTTCATATTATGGTTGTAATATGTATCTTTTAATTCTAAGTTGTAGTTTAATCTCTCTTTTTAAGTCTATGCATAAAAAGCGATGATCAAAAATGATATGGTTCTCGATGAAAAATTAATATCGTTATAAAATGTAAATATTGCATATTTTCAAATGGTTATAATTGGTTTTAAAGATATATTAAGCAACATTTCCTATTTACTGCTATGTATAAAAATTGACACACACACACAAATGTGATGTACATATCATGTAAGTGTTTAAAGCTTTATGCTATGCAATTTATTTTCGTGTCATAATTTCTGCGAATATACGTTCTTATACGTATTTAGTGGCTCAAAAAGGGGAGGAGAATTGTCACCTGACTCATCCGAAATATGGTTAACCTTACCCCATCCTCTGCACTAAAATTAAAGTTTTTAAAATAAAATGAATTCTGATAATTATCTAATAATAATGAGCCCCGAAAAAAATCCTGATTGCGTCACTGTACGTATACACAGTCCTTAACGTTAATATTTTTCTCAGAACCATTAAGAATTTAGTGTATAATCCTACTTATTATTGTATTTGTGCTGTGATGTAATTAATTATTTTCCGTTATCTAAGCTTTTAATACTTAAAAAAAAAATAATAAGTGACTATTGTTTCCTACTACAACGTTATATAAATTATCCATGTTATACCTCAAGAACCATAATCACTAAATAAATAGGAAATTATGATTGGAACGTATATACGAGTACACATACAAAGATATATAAGTAACTAAATACAATATTTTTAGGAAGCGTTATATTGTTTGAACTCTGGTAGTGTGGTTTGAGATGTACAATGCAATAATCCTAAACCATAATAATAATATTATGTCTTGTATACTGATGCAAAACAAAAGTAGAATAACATTTTTTTTAAATTAATTAATATGACGAACATAAAAAAATACACAACTTGTAACTGATTGTTTTAACAATAAAATAAGTATAGTTTAATTTCAGATGACTGCGACTTTTAAGTAAAAGAAAATCAAGATTATTACAGTGTGAATAGAATGTATATCTATCGATCATATTTAACGTAATAAACGATAGTAAATTAAGTATTAGGATCTTGTAAAAATTAAATTTGACTAATGTTATTCATCAAACGATCATTTAAAAATCATCAAAAATAACATTATCATTCATTAATTGTATACATCGTACGAGTAGTATAACATAAAAAATTCATACAACCTAACACTATAAATATATATACAATCAGTGGCATATTTATGGGGGGAGGGGGGTCCAGAGGTACTGGACCCCCCCCAGAACCTCTCCAAAAAATAAAAAATGAACAACAATTCTTACATATTTGCAGAATTGGGTATGTTAAACATTCACAGGGAAGTTGAAATTACTGTTGATGAAGTGATAGAGGAGTTGGCCAAAAAATCGAGACAACTGGAATTTATTTTATAACAATACTTTATAATATATAATATACAATATATAGGTACATATATATATAATATTACATAAGACTATACGATTATTACATTACATATTTAGTTCAACTTCCTCCAAAAACTGCATAAGAACGTAACTATTACAATATAATATATAGTTTATATTAATTATGTATAAACTGTGGACCCCCCCCCAGAAAAAATTGAAAATACGCCACTGTACACAATCACTTTTAAGACACTGCTAAATAACAGTTGGCCAGTTGATGGTCAGAACAGTGGTTAGAAATGTGGAAACACACACCCCTCACGTAGAAATTGTTCGTCTTGTGGACTCCATTACAATGGCATTGTACAATGTTATCAATATTATTTTACACCGTCGGTCGAGTGCGGTATGGAACGATTATGTAATCCGTTCATCTATTTTAGTGCTTCTCAACGGGGGCGATATCCCCCCCCTCGGTGGGTGGTGAAGGCGTACCGAGGGGCGGTGAACTCGTTTCGGGTGGTTGAAGGGCGGTAAGCTCGATTTGGGCGATAAGAGGGCGGTGAATTTTTTTTTCTGTTCAAATCAACGCACCAAGATTTATCTGTAATAATTACAGATAAATTATTGTTTCCCGTTTATCGATTTCTAAAATAAATTCGTGATATGAAATATAAACTACATATACCAGAGGCAGTGCGTTATTATCTAATAACGAAAAAAAGAAATCGACTGGACATTGTTAAAGAGGATATTTACGCCTTCATCTCACAAACTTTGAACCAAACTTAAAAAATTTGGCTTTTAATTACCAAGCACAATCATCTCACTGATTAATACATTTCAAAACATTTAAATTATCCTTTTCAATTATATTTAAACATAAATTTTACAATTATATATATATATATTATTTATTATTCAATTATAAACATTTCATGTATATCATTTTAAATTTTATTTTAATGAAGTGATGGGGGGGCAGTTTGAAAAAGGTTGAGAAGCACTGATCTATTTGATGGTCACACGAGTAAAAATGGATATTTTTTTTTCCGAAACATTTACCATTTACGTACCGCCGAATCGTTCCAAACGTCGGATAGCTACACGACAAAAAAATAATAATTGTTCTAGTGAAATAATATAACACACTAGATTATAATATGGTGGCTAGATATCCCCCTCGAGCATGACGAAAATATATTGTTATAAGGTCTATGAGAAACCGTATACGTATGTATAGAACCATCCAATTGACCTAGAGAGTAGGTAAGCTTATGCACGTGCGTGTTTGTCTTGTCTTAGTACAGTTCACACACGCATACGCGCACACACACACACACACACACACACACACACACACACACACACACAC